CCTGCGCTTTTCAAACCGCTTAAGCCCTCCAGGCCGGTCGCCTCCCACCCCGGCCGGCCAGGGACCGCGGGCTCCGGCTTGCGGTCGGCCGCCCCCGCTGACCCCTGCGCCCCTACCCAGACCTGGGCATCACGGGCTCCAGCCGATGCCAGCCCCAAGCTGCCCGCTGCGGACACCCCAGTCCCAGGGAGCCTACCAGCCCCCTGCCATCCGGGTTTCAAAGGGTGGCAGGGATGAACCCTCGGGCACCCGCTCAGTGGGCATTGCCAGGGGTGGAGGACAAACCCTGGGCTGAGTTCACAACCCAGCCCTCTGGCACAGGGGTGCGTGTGAGCGCGTGGGCCTTCTTCCCGGGAGACCCCCAGGGCTTCCATCAAATTCTCCATACAGCACCAAACATAATCCGCCTTCTGGCGATTTAGAGACTAAAGCCTGTCCAGAAAATGATGGTGATTTCAAATGTTTAACTCCGACGGGAGGAGTGGGTAATCTCAAACACCTGGCTCTCTCTGGCTAAAGGCCGGAGCGGGGAAGAGTAATCAGAAGGTGAGTCTTGGTTTTCTGGAGCGCGTCTAGACGCGGAGGCTGTTTGATTAAGCGCTACCTGGCCCGAGGTGGGGCCCGGGAAGGCGGGGAGACAGAGCTCCGGCAAGATGAGGTTTGAAATGGAAACCGCCGCCACTTGGCCCCAATTAGAGGCCAAACCTTTTATGTAAACAAGGAATAATTAGTTTTGGTAATGGAAGCGTAAACAGAGGCATCATCCATTGATTTGCTAATTGCCCTCCTGTTTCTTGACAATAGCCAGCATTTGGCCCGTGCATCGGACAGGCGCTGCGCACCTGAGGTTCAGGTAAATGAGCTTAGTGGTTATGAGTCGGGCTGCTAATCTCAAAATCAGCAGTTCGAAACTACCAGCGGTTCCACGGAAGAAAGATGAGGCTTTCTGTTAATATTTAAAGCCTCGGAAACCCTATACAGCACCCACCACCACCACCACCACCAACTTTAAAATGGGATGAGGATGAACTTCCCCATCTCCCAGCTATAGCTGGATGCTCAGATCCCTTTTCTTTCTGGCTGTAAGTGTAGTGCCTATCATTCCCCACCCTCCCAAAGGGAGCCTGGATGGAGAAGGCGTCCTGGTGTTGGGGGGGAGGGGGGACTTGAGGTGCTGGGAGAAGTGAGGGTGGCTGGTCAGTCCAGATTAGATCATTTGAGTTTCTGGAAATCGCAACTCCAGTGAGGTGCTCATCTTCAGCCTCCAAATTCCCTTCCTGGGAACAGTCACCCCTTCATCATCCTTCCCTTCCATGTGTGATGTCCATGCTATCCAGCCCATTGAACGAACTCCCAGGTTGCAAGATGGTTGGAGAATTACCCAGAAACCCCATGGGCCCCAGGTGGCTACCCAGCTGCAGAATTTTCTATATGGGAGGGATTCAGGATAGACGGGAAACCCTGATGGGTTGGATTAAGCATTGGACTGTTAATCTCAAGGTCACTGGTTCAGAGCAAGGTGAGGTTGTTTGCTCCTGTAGAGATGTTGTTGTTGTTGCTGTAAGTGCCGTCAAGTCGATTGCAACCCATAGCGACCCTGTATAGATACGGTTTCCAAGGAGCAGCCTGGTGAGTTTGAACCGCCAACCTTGCGGTTCAAACCAACATTGCAGCCCAGCGCATTAACCCACAGCACCATTACAGTCTCTGAAACCCTCAGGACCAGCGACTGTCCTATAGGTCACTGAGTTGGCTCAATGGCAGAGTTTGGGGTTTGTTTGGTTTTGGAGTGGATGGCAATGCCCCACCCCCACCCAGAGCTGCATTAGCACAGGATTGGGGAAAAGCGATAAATTAGGTTCCCATCAAAGCCTGCCCACCCCCTTCACATGCTGGAGGGAAGGCTAGGGCCTCCTGGGAACTTCTCCAGGGATTTCAGGATCCCAGAGTATCTCTAGGATGCCCAACCCCTGGCAGCACCTGGAAAAGTGAGGTGGAAGGTAACAAACTCTGTCAGAAGTGACCCACCGTCAATGGAAGACCAGCCTGACAGTCCTCCCTGGGACCCCCAGACTCAGAGCTGGAGCAGACCATGCCAGGACCTGTAAGGTTGCCAAGGTGCCCTGGGATGGAAGGGCCACCTCATCTGGGTACCCTTCCCCACCCAGTCCCTCTCCCTCCTACCTGGCCCAGAGGCAGTACCTTTGTCAAGGACGGGCCCAAAGATGGCCAGGCTGTCGTCTATGGTGGTGCAATTCCAGCGGCGGCCCCGGAACTGATGCTGGCACTCCTGGATGCCCAGCTTCACGCCCTCTGCCACGCTGGGCATGATCTCAATGTAATTTCGGCAGAAGCGCAGTTGCTTGGGGACCAGGCCTGGGATGGAGCCGCAGAGCAGGGGCTGTGAGCCTAGGGATGTGTACTGCTGGCCCAGGGCCAGTGACCTGTGGGCAGACAGAGGGTGGTGATACTGCAGATGCCAAGTGCATGGCTCTTCATGGGTGTGATTTCTTCCTCCTGAGATCCCTGGGGCAGGTGTATGGAAGGGCAGGCCCATACTGCCTTTAACCTCAGGAGAGCTTGCTGTCCTGTGCAGGGCAGAGCTCTGATCCAGGCAATAGCCAACTTTCAGGGGTGTAGGGACTAGCTGAAAGCTTTCACAGGAGATGGGGAGCATGGGGGTCACTTAAGGGAAATTGGATGCCATGAAAGAATTGTGGACCAGAATGATGAGATTTGGAGCCCAGGTCAAGTCTCTTCTGGTCTCTTGGCCCAGTTTTCCTGCTGGGCATTGAAGGGGTTGGAATGGGCCATCTGCAAGGGAACCTAGGATTCTGGAAGCACATAGGGACTCCCAGTGACCCATGGGAATAAACCCAAACCTAAAAGGAAGGAGAAGATCAGAGCTGATCTGAGTCCACCCCACCACCTACACACATCTCAAGCCCCAGCAAGGAGCTTGCCCTCGAGTGTGTGCCGGCGCTCATGCATGTGTGTGTGTGTGTGTGTGTGTGTGTGTGTGTGTGTATTATTTCCAGTTACATCCCCAGGATGATACTGCCCAGCCATGAGCCCCTTTCCTGGACAGACAGCGTCTGTCCAGGGAATCTGTGGCTGGCATTGGGTTCTCTGTCCACAGGGCTTCCGCGGCCATCTCTGCAGCCACGAAGACGCTTCTCTCACCAGAGAAGAACTTGACTTGGCTTCAAGACAAGTCTGGCTCAGGGTTAGGAAGGGGAACACCCCAATTCTCACTCCTCCACAACTCAACACTATGTGGCCCTGGCCAATCACCCCAGTCTTCTGCCCTTCAGGTTTTATAATCAACAGAAGGAAGGCCTGGGGCAGTGGGGGGGATGGGGTGCGTGGAGAAAGCTTAAAATACCAGAAGACCACCACGATGCTATGGGAATTACTACTCTTCCACTCCCCTCCCCCAGCCCCACGATCCTAGGAATCACAGAAAAAACATTTTCTACAAGAAGGTGAGAAAATGATTCACGCTTCCCAGTGGACGGTGATTGGGGGTGTAGGAGCTGTGTGAGCTGGAGGAAGGAGAGCATGGAGCCTATCTCCTCATCCTTTAAATCAAGCACTGCCCCAAATTCTAGCCTCAGTGGGGTCCCCCATGCAAAGTGGCCAGCGAAAAGAGGGATGAGGAGAGATCCCAGAGGCAGGTCAAGGAAAAATACACTGTAATCTTCAGGACTAGACACAGGGATGAACCAAACAGCTGCCATTTCTCAAGCTCCTACCAGTCAGTTCTTCTGAGTGAGGACTATTACAATCCCATTTATCAGATGCAGAAACTGAGGTTAGGGAGTACACTTGCTCAAGTCTTTCTGATGCCAGATAGGTGTCTGAGCAGAGCCTGCTGTTTTCCCGGGCACCTTCCTCCACACTTGAGCTTACTCCCCACCACAGATTCTGATATGTTCTAGGTGATGTGGAGTTGGCTATCACCCATCTACCCTTGAGCTGGCTCTGGGCTCAGTTGTTTTTGTATTTGAGGATTATCTTGGAGGAAGGATTGGAGACTCAGGCCTGGGAGTGTAGAAGGTAACATTGGTGAGCCATTTCCTAATCTTGATCATTTTAAGGAGAAAGAATGTGCATAAGAGGTCCAGCTTGTCACTGATTCTGGCTGATTCCAGGTACTTGCTATGCTGAGCAGTGGGTGGAGCCTCCTAGGGGTTACCTCATTTCATCCTTACACCAGCCCTCTGATGTTTTGAGATCATTATTACTAGCCCCATTTTACAGATGACTTAACCTTGAAGGTTGAGAAAGCAGCCCAGACCTATTAAGCAGTTACTAATTGGAACTTTGGTCATCTGACTCCAGTGCTTACAGGGTAAAACACTGGGTCAGCTGCTTTCTGGTTCAAGTGAAGCGGGGTCCTGATGCGGGTAAGCTTCAGACCTGGTCTGTCTGCACCTGGGACTTTAGCATTAGCAGGAAGCTGAGTGGGTGAAGCTGTCATCCCAGAGCCCTTTGATGGGCACATAACACAAAGCACTAACACTTAAAGGGGTCCTGCAGATTGTCCCCTCTTCACCTTTGCCCTGTTTACAGTTGTAATGGGGCAAAAGTGACACTGTTGTTGTTAAGTGCCATCTAGTCAGTTCTGACTCACAGCAACCTTGTATAGGGTTTCCAAGGAGCATATGGTGGGTTTGAACTGCCAACTACAAAGTTAGAAGTCCAGTGCTTATCCCACAGTGGCACACCAGGGCAGTTGTTAACTTTTTGGGTGCCTGTCATGTGTTTGGACACTGTTCTGGGAGCTTGCATGAACGATTTAATTTTCACAGCAAGTCTGTGAGGTAAGAACTTCATTAGCATCGCTATTCTTCCATTTCCTAGGTGAGGAAACTGAGGCCAAGGAGCTAAGTAACCTGCCCAATTCTGCAGGGCTGCTGAGCATTAGAGGTTCATCTTTCACCTAGCCAAGGAATCATCATTAACATCATATGCAAGTCAAATTTTGCTGATGAGAATTCAAAAACAGTTGCAGCAGTACATCAACAAGGAACATCCAGAAATTCAAGCTGGATTCTCAAGAGGACATAGAACTAGGGATATCATTGCTGATGTCAGATGGGCTTGGTTGAAAGCAGAGAATACCAGAAAGAAGTCTACCTATGCTTTATTGACTATGCGAAGGCTTTTGGCTGTGTGGCTTATATAAACTATGGATAATATTGCAAAGAATGGATATTCCAGAACACTTCATTGTCTCATGAGGGAGCTTATATAGACCAATAGACAGTTATTGGAACAGAACAAGGGGATATTGGAGGGTTTAAAGTCAGGAAAGGTGTACATCAGGGTTGTATTCTTTCACCATACTTATTCAATCTATATGCAGAGCAAATAATCCAAGAAAATGGATTATATTTAAAAAACAAAAAACATGACATCAGGGTTGGAGGAAGACTTGTTAACAACCTCTGATATGCAGATAACACAAAGACCACAAACTTCAGTATGGATTGCACCTCATTGTAAAGAAAACAAAAATCCTTACCACTGGACCAATAAATAACATCATGATAAATGGAGAAAAAGTTGAAGTGGTCAAAGACTTCAATTTGCTTGAATCCACAATCCAGACAGCAAAGCCATTTGAACTGCAAGGTCGGCAGTTCAAGCTCACCATCTGCTCCTCAGAAACCTTTTACAGGGTCGCTATGGGTCAGAATCTAATCGATGGCACTTCACAACAACCCTCATGGAAGCAGCAGTCAAGCAATCAAATGACATATTGCATTAGGCAAATTTGCTGCAAAAAAAACTCTTTAAAGTGTTAAAAACAAACAAACAAAGATTTCACTTTGAGGACTAAGGTGCGCCTGACCCAAGCCATGGTATTTCCAGTAGCCTTATATGCATGTGAAAGTTGGACAGTGAATAAGGAAGACCGTAGAAGAATTGATGCATTTGAATTATGGTGTTGGTGAAGAATATTGAAAGTGCCATGGACTGCCAGAAAAACAAACCAATCTGTGTTGGAAGAACAACTACAATGCTCCTTAGAAGCCAGGATGGCGAGACTTTCTCTCTCATACTTTGGATATATTATCAGGAGGGACCAGTCCCTGGAGAAGGACATTATACTTGGAAATGTGGAGGGTCAGCGAAAAAGAGGAAGACCCCTAACTGGATGGACTGACACGGTGGCAACAATAATGAACTCAAACATAACAACAATTGTTGTTATGTGCAGAACCGGTCAGTGTTTCATTAGCTCTGTAGTGCATAGGGTCACTATGAGTCGGAACCGACTCAAGGGCATGTAACAACAACAACCCAGTTTGGCTGCTTTCACATGCTTCTAACTAGCATATCCAGATGGACCGGGCCAGCCCTGTCCTGCCAGCTGCCCCACCAGCCCATCATCAGGCCTCAGTGGAGATGACTCAGCTGAGGGTCATCCTTCCTCATGTCCTCCTCTGATATTTAGGTTTCGATGCCCTATCTGGGAATATTTTCTAGAAGAAATCTGAGGCCAGAGTTTACAGTGCTGGCACCCTAGGGCACCACCTGGATTTGGTGCTGAGTCGAAAGCATTATTGTAACCCATTGGCACAAGTTTCTATTTGGGAGAATGAAAATGTAGAAATAAATAGTGATGCTGGTTCCAAAATAAAGTATTGTGGTGACTCCATGTGCCCTCCACACACTGGCCTGGGACACAGGAAGACTGGACACCCACTTGCCTACCAAAGGGCTCCTTTGAGATGGCCCAGCTGAGCCTGAGCCCGGAGCCTTCCCTGTATCCTCACATGTGCCACCGTCCCTACCTGTCCTTGGAGGTGTGGAGGGGCCCTGCTGTGTCTGTATCCCTTCAACCTGTCCTCCATCCCTCATTCTGAACTCTCACCTGGAGGGGAGCTCTCACCTGGGCAGGCCTGTCTCCTGCTTCCCTGTGTCCCTCTGGCTTTCCATTCTAGGTCTCCTCTCAGACAAGACAGGTCCCAAGAACTCAGGCTTTCCTTTGCTGAGAGAATCAAAGTGGAGCCCTCGGGGGAACTCTACTCCTCCCCTCCCATTGTTTTGCTTTCTCCTCCTTTCTCACTCTCTTCCACTGCCTTGCCTTACACCTGTCCAGTTGGGAGTGCAAGGCTGAGCCCTGGACCAGAATCAAAACCCACAGGATGCCTGAGCAGAGAGGAACCCTAGGAAAGCACAGAGCCCATTGTACAGATGAAAAAGCAGAGGCCCAAAGAGAGGCCACACCACACCCACCGTCAGATCCACAGCCCCAGGTTAGGTCCTGTGGTTTTCCTACTGTGGGAAAGAGAGACCAAAGAGAGGGGAAGGCTCCAAGGCTCTTCTCCAGGCTCAGTGAAACTGCTTCGCACCCAGCCCTCCAAGATGCTCCCTCTCCCTGGTTTTACCAGTTCCCTCCCAGCAGAACCCTGGAGACCTGGGCACTAAC